GGGAACTTCACTGTGGATGATCTGGGACATGTTCGAGGCGACACGCTCGATAACAGGTTCGTTTCATCGGAAAATTGGATAAGTTACAAGGGTTCGTTATCGGTCAGTGTAAAACGCAGACTGCGTACTGCAGACCGGAGACTAGGGGTAAAATGACGATTGAGAGTAGAATATTGATGCAGACTGCAGACCGGAGGTAAAATGCAGACTGCAGACTACAGACTTCTTAAGTATATATCGTGTTATTTCCATGATCGAGCGCTGACCGTAAACAGAATTATTCAGGCTAATTGCGGTGAAAGCCTGCACTCCGATTAGCCTGAAAAGCGCTCCGGTTAGACTGAATATCACTTCGGTATAATTAGCCTGAATATCACTCAGGTTAGCCTAAATAACGTTCCGGTTAGCCTGTTTACGGTTAGCTCTCAATGGTGGAACGATTCAGTTAAAAAGTCTATGGTCTGCAGTGTACTGTGTATTTTACCCCCGGTCTGCAGTCTACGTTTTAAACTGAACGGGTTCGTTATACTTGACATGTATAACGTTATACGCGTTATGCATTACGTGTGTTAAGAGGTTTCCTGTTTTGTTGAGATTTATTATATCGGAAGGCTCATTAACCAGAGCTCCTTAGTTAGGGGGTTCATTGTTTAAAGATTTGTATCTATTAGAGGGGTTGGTTAAGCAGGCAAGCGTTAGTGAGATCAAGAGGCTCGTTATCATATAGTATCAGAAGCATATCACCTCGAAGCGATTAACTCCGTTCCGATGCTGGGGTTTTTTAGGGAACCAATCAAAATTAACTTCCTAATATGGAGTGTTGCACACGGTTACGTCACAATATCGTCGTCTCTGCCGGAGCAATGGCGGACACTGTTGTTGTTTTCGTGTTGAGAGTAGGTTGTCGTTTCCTCAACCTTTTTCTGCGCTTATCAAGAGAATCAAACGAACTTTTTCTAGGAGCTGCTAATGCAATATCACGGCCAGAGATTATCGAACTCTCAATTGCAGGTAAGCATATTTTTGTACAAAATAAGTCTGAAAATCACGTTTATGTTGAAAAATTTGAAAAAATTCATTTATGATCTGTGTTTCCTGTCAAAGCTGGACAGAAATTGAGCACACCGGCGTTTGACAAACAATCTTTTGGTCGTTTGCTGGGAGACAGGGATCAGTGTTGTGATTATTTTTGCATGGAACTTTAGTACGATACCTGTAGTTCATGTTAAGAAGTCGGGGCTCCCGTCGTTTTTACAGGGTTTAAACGGTCAAAATCGGACTTGAAATTTGGGGCTTTTTCCGTGAATTGCGTCATACCAGGTCATACATTCGCGGTATTTCACGGGAGTTGGTGTGATTCTGATTTTTTTTCTCCCACGATAAGTGTGTAATTTGTGGCTCGGTTTGTTCCTTTAATATTTTAATGTTTTTTTGCTAATTTGTTTTTGTAGAGTGTATGTAATCCGTTTGTTTGGCCGATGTTCGGACACTCTAGTCACAACCAAGAGGAAACAATTGTTCAAGCAAGTATAAATAAATCTGCAAGGGCTTGGATGTCGTCAATTATAAATTCGTTGCACTGTAAATATATCAAATCGATTATAGTAAATTTTTCCTATCACGTTCACTTCCTGTCTTGAATTG